AGAAGGAGTAAAAAGCTCTTGAAGCATCGTTTATAGTGGCTCTAGCAGACAAATGATGCAAGAGGCACCCGGCACTGTAGGTGTTCAGGTACCGTGGAGCCGTGAGCTGCTTAAGTGGCTCCCTAGGTAACTAGGAGCACGGCAGCGGTGCAATACACCGTGAAACCTGGTCTTGAACAAGTCATGGGCCAACTTATATCTAATGGATATTTTTTCGAGCATTAATTTTTTTATGTAATTTAGTACAGGCCAGATTTTATATCAATGTCGATGTCGCCAACGAGTCAATATCGCTTATGTCACATACATTATATATTTACACATCATACTCACACAACTGACGTTTCGGACCAAAGACTATCCGCTTTCAAAACCGCTAGCTTAGCATCAATTTGGGGTAAAAAGAAGCATTTCCCTAAAAATTCGGGCTTAACTTCATACTTCATTCGATTTGCCCTCGTTGCGAGCGCGTCAAAAAGCACGTCGATGCGCCTCTATCACTTCTATGTCCTTAAACGTTTTTTCTTGTTCGACAGTCTGTTCCGGGTGCTGAATTATGCGAACTTTCTTGATGCCTCTCCTGTCTTCAGTTAGTCCAACGGATTTACAGAAGTGGAGCAATTTGTAAGATTCTGAACAAGGGCAAGTATCACAAAGGCATCGTCTCAAGCTACTACGACGAGATCCTTGCCACTTCAACAGGAAAGGTGGTTTACCGCATGGTAAAAATAAAAGCATTGGCCAACAGAGATATTCAACAACAGCAAAGGTACCTTTGCATTTCCGCTTGAACTCCTCGGGTTTGTGCAAGTAAAGCGCAGCCGCATCACCGTTAAGAGGATCGGTCGGATTCGGGTAGGCCAACAGCTGAGGAAGGAAAGATTCGAATATGTTGGCGAGGTCTAAACGTAGGACGAAGTTAATTAAAAAAGCACAAATTATAACAGAAAAAAGTTCTCATGTAAATATACCAAAAAGTGCTGTCCACGCTTGGTTGATGACATCCAGGCATACGGTACCAGAGCTAAACAGAAGCAAAAGCACACCGTTAGCAATAACTGGCCTCGAAAGCGAAAAACCCTTACGCTTCGTCGATATTCGGGTGGAAGATCTTGTTCATGAAGCCGATCGACGGCGACTTGAAAGGGTATTTGTCCGGAAGGTCGACGCGAACGCGCCACACACCTCCTTCGTAAGGAGCTAAGAAACAGGCTGATGTTAGCTTACAAGATAATATTATGACAACTGTTGGAAAATCAATATAGTATTTGCTGCTTCGCCAGATGAGGTACTGCTCCTCCATGATCCGTTACTCTTTGTTTAGAAGTACAATTCAGATGTTCAATAATGATTCGCCGTTGCCCGGCAACTTTCAATTTAAAGAGGCTAAAAAATAACGAAGCTCCGTAGGAACAATTATTAACCTCTTTTCTGGGATATATTCTGTTTTTACTCTCTCTGATTTCGCCACTGGCCCCCAAACAACCTGGGAAATCTGTTCATCGCTTAATGAGTCCTTAGAAAAATTAGCACGTTCATCCACATTGTATTCCTCCATTTGATTGTATGTGTGTCAGGGCGGAACTCATTCGTGAGGCATTCGCGCCTTCTTTAGGGCGGATCCTGTAAAACACCAGGCTAATCCTGTTAAACCGCGCTCAAAGAAGCACAAATTCTTATTCTAAGTCAGTCTATGTTCTTGGCTGGTACTGTCTTGCTTCCTCATATCATCAGTTTCTTATATTTTTCACTGTCTTTCAAAGAAAGTTTACGTAGTCGACATGTTAAAGTCGATTTAAGGTTACCTGCACTTATACAGAAATGTATGGCCGATCAGTTTCGTCACTTTTCTTCGTCATCCGGGTTTGCATGCAGCCAGAGGTCCGGAGCAAATCGGTTTTGAAAAGCCAGCTTATGAGGCACTAACCACAGAAATTGCTGTTTCCTGCATCGATTTCGTGCATTGACCTCTACAGCCTGCACAGAATCTTTTATAAAATATGGTGAGCCGATTTTGTGTTGATGACGGATACAAACGTTCCAGCAAATATATCTGATTAATAATTATTCCTTCGAATTATTCCTATGTTTGTTGAGATCATCACCTTGAACCGTTTGTAGAAACAAAACGTCTGGTTTCTTAATTTCCGCATTTCAAGACTTTTGCCACAAGGAACCAGTTACTGCATGGTAGAAAAAAATATTCCTCTCTGAAAGTACATCTGCTTCTACTTTGTTCCCCAGATGTTTCACACTGGCCTCCTGGTCGACGTATGCCGTGTTTCAGGTCACACACAAGAAGCGCCCGGGCTGGAGTAAACGGCACAAGCTCAAGCAGCTTGCGTAATAGGACAAACCTCCTTTTCTTAATCGACACACCCACTGAAATCACCTGTGCCTGGAACAGAATAGTCATTCGCTTTGTGGCCCTGCCACTTAATTCTCATAATGAGTTGAAGCCAACGTTTCTATAAGCAGCAAAATCGTCGTTCCTGCTCCTTCGATAGAAAAACCTCCGCAATGACATACAGCAACACTAACCAGACAGAGGCAAAGTGACAGACTTGTGCGAAATCTGATCGTCCTTTCTCATCTCAAACATGGGATAGGTTCCCAAAAGAGTTAGAAACTAAGCGGGCCGTTTCACTGAACTATCGTTGCAAGGTGTTCATCGCTGGAAATGATGGAGCAAACACACCTGGATTAGTGTAGCTCCAAATAATCTGTCGCAACTGTCTAGAAACTGTAATGAAAAAATTCCATCATGCTTCATACAAGATTAACAAAGCTAATATTAGGTTTCGTCTCGAAGGTAGGCAACGTAACACAGCGGAATTCTTGCGCCTACAGTTGTTGATATACATTTTCGTTCTCATACTGCAAGAAGCTTTAGAAACGTAAGAAAGAATTGTCAGTTTGCTGAAAGGCATATACTTGGATAACACGTTGCGTCGAACAATAAACGCCAAACACGGGTTACTGACAAAACGATTATCAGAGTGATACAGATGCCTTGATATTTCACAGCCATGTCACAGGGCACATTTAGACTTGCTGATCTCTTGCAACGTCGCATTTAGGTAGTCGATGATGGCGCATGAGCTAATACAGAGTAACAGATGTTAAATCATCTGAAGAACGTATGTAAAATGCAGGCCTATTAACTGGCAAAAACGCGTAATGCTCTACGCTGAATTAAATGGATTATTCTTGGGTTCAGACTTGAGACAAAATATGTAGCGCATAGATTGTTCTACCGTAACCGCGTAAATGGAATCACCAGCAGGCCACGTGAGAGTTCGCATCATAAATTGGAATAACCTAACTGATAGATCTGATACATCACTGATTTCGACGCAACCCAATAAGCTCGTCTTTCAACCTTTCAAAGCAAATAAAAACGTGTGCGGGAACAAGCAGGGGAGTACACCCTGTAATTCTCACTTAGACATATTTAGCTTTCAAGAAATAGGTCACGTCTTGTTTAGGGCATTAAGATTCAGATAACAACTTACCATGAGGTTCATTCATAAAGGGTGCTACCAACTACGGATTTGTAGGAGACGAAGGCATCACAGCATCTTCCTCCTTCACTGACCACTGACCCATTTAAGGAATCGGGTAGAGTAGGAACAACTCGTAAGAGGGTGTCAGTCAGTTATCAAACAAGTTTAGACAAAAGTAAAATAAACAAAGTGATAGAAAAAGTCATACTTCCGTTTGGCCCGTAAAACTTCACAGCGAATTCGTTTAAGCCACTAAGAATAGTAACTTCGTGCTTGCTTTCGATGCTAAAAGTACATAAGCAATCAAAGAAATGAAAAACGATACATAAGTATTTATTGAATAAGAAAGGATAAGAAACATCTCCGAAACGAGGATTATGAAGGTCAACCGAAAAATCACTAAGCAAACAAAAGAACTCATGAACAGACAAACGAAAAGAGATACGAAAACAGCAACAAATCAAAAATCAAACATCAAATAAGTAAAACTGCAAAAGTTTAAACAAATTAATAAAAGAAAATATCTGCATTCAGCTGCAGATCAGTAAAGGCAACTAAACTATAGAAAACAATCAATGCAAGAAGAAATCAAAAAAGTCAAATGATGTTCTGGAAAGGACAACTTTCACTTCTTAAGGCAGAAGATGGGACCATCATTATAGACTGACAAAGGATTCTAAAGAGACTCGAAGATTTCTACAGTAAACTGTACAAAGATGAAAACGACAATAGCTTAGGTGACAATAAAGAACCTGATAATAAAAAATAAAACTGAAGAAATTTCAAGTACAAATAATAAATAAACAAGGCAATAAAGCAGGCGATGCGAGGAAGGGCTCTCGACAAAAACAACACTACAACATAACTCGCAGAATTAGGACACGCAGGAGATAAAGCATCGACAAAGATATTAGGGTGCTGGTTTTCACGCAGTCTAAAAAGAACTGTAAGCTTAAGAGGACTGAAATATCGCATCGATGATTCACCTCCATAAAAGGGAGACAGAGAATATTTGAAGAACTACATGTTGATCAGTTTGTTACAAGTCATCTACAATATCTTCACGAAGACGAACAAACTTAAAGAACAACTGGACGCTTTTTATACAAAAAAGAAATGTAGCATTAAGAAGTGGAGTTTAGTACTACAGATCACTTTCAGGTATACAACAAGTAATTCATATAAGCAATGAATATCAGCCGCCATAATGCCCGAGGAGGTTCATCGATTTAGAGGTTTTCTACTCGATTTAAATTCCACTTTTACTACTGGATTCCTTGAAAACCCAGGAAGTCCAGAAACGATACAAACAACTCATCGCCATGATTTACAAGAATGCATCTGATAGTGTGAGTTAAGATAAGATAAGAAGAATAAAGGAAGAATAAACCGAGCTGAACATCGGAAAGAACGTCTTACAGAAAAATGCAACTTCACCGAAGTTATTCACCACAGCCATAGAGGGGGTTTTCAACGAACTCCGTTAAGAAACTCAAGGAGTGAACACAAATCGATATTATTTAAGCTGTTTGAGTTATGCCGAGGACGTTCTGATAATGATTCTGATAAAAGTTGTCAGAAAAACAACAAAGAAAAATTCAAGAGCTGAGCGTCAAAACAGGACTGCAAATGAACCTGAAGAAGGTCGAAGTCATGTTTAAGAAATACATGATTACACAACCTGCTGAGGTCAATGGACTTCATTCTGAAGAGACGCAAAACTGTTTCGGACAAATGATCTCTGCAACGTAGAATGTGAAATCAACAGTTTAAAATTGGCATGAGGTCACCTTGGAAGAATGAACATGTTCCCATGCAAGAAACTGGCATAGCCTTTGAAACGGAGTTTTCGATCAGTGTGTGCTCCAAATGCTAACTTCTGGGTGCGAACCGTGTGCCTAAGCCTGAAAACTATGTAAACAATGCAAAGTACTGTATAAACTAAAAACTAAACAACGCAGCATGGAAGGTTGAAAGGTAAATAAAGGCAAGATCACAAACAGGAGTCTGCCATATCATTCGCGAAAAAGTTAAAACCGAGATGCGCAGGATACGTCATAAGAAGAATGTGCTATTACTAAAGCGGAAATACAATAGACTGGGTTCGAAGAGAGAGCAAAAGATCCGTAGGAAGACCGCCATATTAACAGCATGGTGAACTGAAGAAGTTAACTGGACGAAGATGGATGAAAATAAGAGGAAACAAAAGTCTATGACGTAGTATGAGATTCAGCAGCGGACCGACAAAGGCCGATAATGATTATAACAACGAGACAATGATATATGCAAGCCTTGTTTAGCTTTCTTGTACACATACCTGCATCCCGAATGAAAACTGGGGCAAGACGAATGGCTTACAATAATAACACAAGTCACGACAATTAGCCACTTTACCCTCAAGATCAGTAACGCCTCGGTTTCGGTTAAACGTGTCACTCAATAAACAGAGGTATGAAGAGGAAAAACTTGTTAATACTGAAGGATTGTCAGAGGAGTACGTACCCTTAATTACAAGTAATTATGTAATCCCCAAATAAAACATTGTATGATAGTTTTTCATGGTGCCTGAAGAAGTTCAAATGGATTTGAGCCAACAAATGTAAAATGAACAGTCACCCCACCCCTTTCAACAATCACAAGAATTTTGGAAAGTGAAAATACTTAAGTCTTAAGTCAAAGTAGTGTATTACTAGACTAGACGACTCGACTGGCCGTATTTCCTCGTACCGGCAAGTCGATGAACAGGCAACGGTAACAGGCAATGGACTATGTCAAAGCAGTCTGCGACGACCTACGATTGATGACGTCAGCAAATGGGAACAATGCAACAAGTTCGTTGACACCACCTAGAGTCAAAACTGGGGAAACAAGTTCAAACTCATTGTCCAGACGCACATGCCGTCATCCATCTGAACCGAGGAAAAAACCGAGTACTTTACAAGATTTTGTAAAAGCTCACCCCATAGGGATTGAGAAAAATTTTCAGAAACTATCAATCCAATGAGAGTCAAAACTTACAGATATCTTCCTAATGCACTGAAGCAAAAAATTTGCAAGATCACAAAGAAATAGAATTTTCGCCTTTTCCTTACAGCTTTTACACAGAGATAATGCTTGCTTGGCTTCATTAATGTAAAAGACGTTGATATTCAATTTATTTTTCTTAATCGCCATAATTCTCTTCTTAAAGCTCTTCTCTCTTCATTGTCCTTCAAATATCAGTCAGTAAGCTAATAAGATTCAAGAGTCTAAGAAACGTTTACCTCTTTCTTGATTTTTTACTATTATACTATTCGACAAGTCTTTTACGGGTTTAGACCGTATATAAAACTTATTATATACAAGTTCTCCAACGTCTCGGATCAAGTTAGATCCGTCTTCAGGCAGAGACATATTCGGTTACAGTATTACAGTAACTAACTGTCTGTGTAATTAGGTACAAACTTCACTATAGAGGTATAGAACTTCACTTCACTGTAGCCTCGATAACAGAAGTTGTTTGATAACCTAATAGCATACCAACACCCTTATTCACGATCTGGCTGGACTGTAGTACTAATGTTTCTTTTATCTTCCTGTTTAGAAAAATTCGCTGCCAGTGTATTCCCTTCATGTAATCCCATAATAAGCGGTATTGTTCTTTTACTGCATGTTACACAGCCGCCGAGTTCCATTCGCATTCCTGCTTTACCATCTGTGGATCTTTCGCTTTTCTTCGCCCTCTGCCTTTCTGTGTTTTATCACTCTGACGCAGAACGGCTTGCACCACCTATGGAAAATATTGAGGTTTTCTTGCTTCCTCTCTTCTACAGTGCTCCGGCATTTCTAATGTAATTGTGACCACACTCACTGGGTAGGGTGTAAATCCAGCTTGTTGTTGGAATTTCGGTTCGGTGATTTTGACGTGCATCAGCTAGTTCCATAATGTCATTTGGGATCTGAATGTTAAACATACTCTGCGCTTATGGGCGATCTTCTGCAG